GCTGTTTTTTGAGTCACTTGATATATGGGCTGCAGTACCACATCCAAATGAGGAAACTTGCCTCCAAAATTCAAAGAGGCCTAATAAGCACTGTGCCTCTTTTGAAGCTGTGTAAGAGGGATCAGATGCAATAACTTATCCTTCACCTAGAAGGGATATCTCTACATGGCCCACATCAGTGGAGCCCTAGAAATTTCACTGAGGTAGAAGGTCCGTGAATTTTAGTCAGATTTATTTCTCACTCTCTGATGTACAAATGCTTTACTAATAAGTCTAGAGTAGTTGGTACTTGTTGCTTACTATGTCCAATCATCATGATGTCATCATTGTAATGGACCAGAGTGATATCTTGTGGAAGGAAAATGCCAGCTGAAAGCTAGCTGCTTTTGGCAGTCCTCATGGACAGGAATGGAGAAAAAGGCATTCGTCAGGTCAATAGCTGTACACCAGGTACCCAGGAGAGTGTTAATTTGCTCAAGCAGTGAAACCACATCTGGTACAACAGCTGCAAGTGGAATCACCACATGATTAAACTTTCAATAATCCACTGTCACTCTCCAAAATTCATCTGTCCTTTGCACAGGCCAAATGGAAGAGTTGAATGGAGATATGGTGGGAATCACCACCTCTGCATCCTTCTAGTCCTTGATTGTGGCACTAATCTCATTCCTCCAGGAATGTAGTACTGCTTTTGATTTACTATTACGTTAGATAGGAGCAGTTCTAAGGGTTTCCATTTGGCCTTTCCCACCTTGATTGCCCTTTTTCCGTAGGTCAGGGGACCAATGTAGGAATTCTGCCAGCTACTCAGTATGTCTATTTCAATTATGTATCCTAGAACTGGCTGGGAAAATAACCACAAGATATGTTCAGGGACCCACTGGGCCACTGTATGATGGACATGAGCTAAAGTTCCATTGATTATCTGATCTCCATAAGCTCCTACTCTGACTGGTGAGCTATAGTAATGTTTTCAGTCTCCTGGAATTAATGTCAATTTAGAGCCTGTGTCCAACAGTCTCTGAAAGGTCTGATTATTTTATTTTCCTCAATATAGCATTTCTCTGGTAAACATAGTTCTCGTCGTGGAAGGCTGAGAGAAAGATTAGCAGTATAAGTTTTGGGTAATGTACTGGAGTCCTACCTCAAGGGACTCTGCTTCCCTTTCATTCAACAGGTTCTGAGTTTCCAAACTGGCTCGAGTCTAGGAATTGACTGAGGAGCCATTACTCTCTGATTTTTTATTTAGGTTAGATTTGTTCACTTGACCTAGAACTTTTCTGATTATACAGATCAAGTAAGAATTTTGTAGCCTTCTTATCTATTTCATTTCTAGGAACACCATGATCAATTAGTCAATGCCATAATTCTGCTTGAGGCAGACAATTCTGATTGCTGTTTTGACTCTTCTGCTCATTACAGTAACCTTTTCCACCTTGCCTTGGGCAGTTGGTGCCACCACTTGGCCCAGACCACTCTGGGATCCAATTATTCCCATTGCATTTAGGTTTCTCAATTCAGGGACTGAAGTTCCCACTGTGAGATCTGCTCTATGAGAAGGGTGATCACAGAGCTTTTTTAAGGATGCTGGGGCTCCACTCATAAATTTATTTTTCACAATATTGATAAAAAATATTTCTTCCATATACTCCCAGTGATAATAAGTACACCTTAAATGACAAATCTACTCTACCATTTCAGTCTCCTTAAGCTTTTGAATCCCTTTCTCCACATTAAACCAAGGTATGTCTAGCATTTTCAATTCACTCCCAGCAGGTCATCTTTTGATCCATGTTTTAGTCAACCAACAAAAGAAACTGTTAGAGCCCATCTAACTCCCTGAGCTACATACAACATTAAATGCAGAATTTTTGTCTAGTGAGCCCATGTTAATAAATTCAGGCCGATCTAACTTTATGTTCATTCTACCAATATCCCACACCCTTGTATCTTTCCTCACACACGTTCCTTTGATTTCTGTGTGCATAAATTAGAAAACTCAAGTAGTTCTTTTGGAAGATGATGTACCTTCTCACTGGTCACACGATGAACCTCACCATTAGGGACCTAATGGGACTCGAGTCTAGTTATAGGTCTAGATGCAAAGACAGGTAAGTGGTGGTGGTGGGTCCTGAGGAGAATCAACATTGTTTTGTATGGTAACTACTCAATTATAGTTTTCTTAGTCAATGTAGAGTTAATCCCTTTAGATGGAGGTGGTAAGGGCAATACCACTGGAGATGGGGAGACCAGTTCTGCTAGGGTTGGGGAGACTTCTTCTCCTGGTAAAGAAGACTCACCAGAATTTAGTGGCTCAATGTCCCCAGTTTCATCAGAGTCCCCATCCCAACTCTGATCCCATTCTTTCCCAATAAATACCTTTGTAGGCATCCTATGAGTCAGGGAGTTCAACTTGCATTGTAATTCAGGAAGTCCCAAATGAGGTTTCTGCATTTGATTTGCAGAAACTTCAGCCCTGTAGCTATAGGAGATAACACACAGAAGTGCTTGATCTGGGAATTTGAATCCTTGGGCTTATCTTTTTCTTTTGCCACTTGGTCAGTAAGATTAGGAGCAATCAGCTAATATCATTATTTTTGTGACTATTCCAAAAATGTTTGAAAGTATCATATAAAGTATCACCTAGCTTCTTGTTTCTTATGAGTAATTGATTAAGAGTATCAAATGGAGACATTTTGCATATCTCTATAAATAGTTCACATTGTAGATTAACAGTGCTCTCTTTACTACTAGAAATAGTCATTAGCATCTTTAAATATAATTAGATTAAAGAAACAATTGCCCACTCGGCATCAAAATTTATATTGGTCAGTGTTCAGAAACACAGAAGCTACAGGAGATATAGATAGACAGACAAACAGACAGACAGATAGATAATAGATATATTATGAGGAGAAAAAAGCCTACTAAAAAAATCTTATTTGGATCAAAAACAGGGATTTTGAAATTCCTATAAAAATCAATTAATTCAAGTAAAATTTCTCATCCTAGGAAACAAGTATTTAGTAAAGAAAAAGGGAAATAATGGTGCTGAGCTCTTATACACCTTAAGCTCTTTAAGTGGGTTTGCTTGTTTAACTTTTACCAAAAACTTAGCTAATAAGAAAATGGATGTTCAGAGAGTTTCCATAATTTACTAGTGTCACGCATTTTGTGGCAGAGTTGGAATTCAAACTTTGTTTTAATCCCAAGCCTATGTTCTTACATAATATTAACCTTCTACCCAGTGAAACAACTTTTTCCATTTGGAAAATGTTTCTGTCATTTATATATAAACATCTCATCCACTGAATACAAATACTGCATTCTGTTTTTTTTTTCCCTTGACTTTATGGTATAAACATTTTTCCATGTATGTGTATAGGCTCTAAAATTTTAAATGTTAACATCTTCCTAATGTGTTTTCTTGCTAATATAATATAACTCCTTTAAACATTTTCCTAATATTTGGCATCTAAATTGTTTCCAACTGTTCTTTTTATCATAGATAAGACACAAGTAAGGTATTCATCCCCTTAGATTTTTGTTTCTACTGAGCTATTTCTTTAAGAAACAGTTTCAGTTGTGAAATTCATGGGAGTAAAGGATATGAACATCTATGGGTCTTACCGCACTGACTCTTTTTTTTCCCACAAAAATATGCACTAATTTAAAATGAAATATTGCTACTTTTAAAAGGAGATGTCACCACTCAAACTCTGCAATGGGAGAAGAACATCAAACTTCAGGGATTTATTTCACTCAAAGTGTTGTTGTGAATTGCCCTTGAAAAAGAAAGTGACAGACCTCCTCCCCTACCCTGAATTATATTACATCCCAGAGGACTGAAATGGTCATTAATTTTTAATATCGTCTCTTCTCAGTGAAGAGTATAATGAATTTTTCTTAGATATTCTTGTAGGATTGATGTCCCAGAAATTTGAGGACGATTTCAGGGCATCTATAGCGAGCTCAGAAAATTTTAACCAGTTGCCTGTGTTCCTGGAGGAGAATATGCACCAGAAATATGGGTAATTGTTAAATTACCTATAACATCAATTAATTCCATAATAACAGCTACTAACGTCTCTACAGTGATTTCCAGTTTAGACAGTATTTGCCTATATGTCTGATCATAGGAGAGTAAGTTACACTGAGCTGGGATTTGTGAGATACAGAGGACTGTGTGCCAGGAATAAAGGTAGTGCCTCTGGCCTTACTGAAGTTAATGGTTTCGTTGGATTAAAAAGGCATCATCATATTAAAAGCTAACTATATTCCCAAGAGGGTAATACTAAATATCCAACAAGGAAAGATATAATAAGTGACATAATATTGAAGAAGAAAAGTTTAATTATTCTGGACTTTAGGGATCAAGGTAGTTAATATTGCTAAAGTATGGAAACTTCTTTTCAAGGAAGTCATATATGATGAGTGTCCCAGGAACTTAGTTACATTCTGGCCCCTCTTCTGCCTTCCTATCATCATGTCAATGCACCTGATGCAAGCCTTCGGGAACATCCTAAGGGGTTTCCTTTGAGAAGGTTAGCCAAGTTCTGGAAACTCACACTTCCTTGGCCATCTCTGAAAGTAGACCTTTTAGCAACTGGAGAGCACGGGGATATGCTCAATGATTCTCTACCACTGTGTAGCAAAAGATTTCTCCTGCATCAAAGCCATCTATGTTTCATAACTTTGCTTAAGTCTGAATGTGGAAAATATCATGCTTTAAGAATGAACAGTGAAAGGACCTGTTGATTTAGGCGGAAAAAAACCGCATCTATTCATTTATCAAATACTTAGTGAAAACCTACAAGGTATCTGGCACTGGGTGCTTGTAACACATTATTAAGATATGAAGGGAAAAGTAGTATTTGATTCTGAACATAAGACAGAAGAAATTCATATAATTTATCCTAGTTAAGAACAAAAATAAAATCACTTACTTCAACCTCCTTATCATTAATAACAGGTAATTAAGGTCACCAAAAATGACTTACCCCTGGTCATTAGGTAGTGAGTCTCAAAGCCAAATCTTCAACCCAGATCATCTTATTCTTTGCCAATTCTTATTAGGTAAGGGTTCCGTGAAGATGCTTTTATCACCTTTGCCTTACTTAAGCGTTCAATCTTCTTCTGTGAAAGAAACTGTGAAAAAATGTTCCTCAATGCACAAGTAGTTCTTCTTATTATTATATTCCAAGATTGTAAGTTCTTTACCATCTAATATTTATTCATCAATGAAATAAACTTAAGTAATGGATAAGTGTCTACAATACTTCACAAATTATTACAATGGTTGAAATAATGGTAAAACTATTAAAGCTGTATTGTTCACAGAAATTTAAATTACATAAAGGTAATTATTCAGTTCCTCAGTTGTACTAACTACATTTCACGTTCTCAATAGCCACGTGTAGCCAGCACAGGTACAGAACATTTTTATCATTGCAAAAAGATTTATTGCAGAGTACTGTATTAAAGCAATGAACCATTTCCAACCCATAAGGAATGAGTTAATTTGCAAAATATATATTTTTTCAGCACATCTGCTGTGAGTAATAAGATATTTACATAAGGATATGCAGGAAGTGAGATTTTACTGAGAAGCAGTACAAGAAAGACAATCATCTTGTGTTCTGCTTCCCTACCTGCAAAACTAAATGCTTAAATGGCATTCTTTAAATGCTTCAGATGCTCAAAAATTTTCTCTCCATATAACCAGAGTTTGAAAGCTTTTGCATAAGTCCCATGAAATGGTTCATGTACAAATAGTATTATGATTCACTACAATACTTGTTGTCGTGCACGTATATTAAATATGAAACAAATAAACAGTATGTACTAAAAAAAATACACGATATTTTAAGAAGGAAAGTTACTTCCTAGCGGGTATTCAAATGAAGAACCAGAAAAGAAAAGATAAAGATACTTTTGACTACAAATATTAAATTGGGCACATTCTTTCCCCCAAATTAGAGAATGTCAGAGAAAATCATGGAAACATAAAAATATTTTTATATAATAACATTTATTGTAATGAAAAATTTAGAAAACCTAAATGGTCATCAATACAATATTAACAAAATAAAATGTTCACTTCTATTCAAAGTGATATTATATAGTAATAAAAGATGACCAGAAAAACTGAAAATGTAGTCTTCTCTCAAGCAGGAACAGCGTGATTTAAGGAAAATGAGAAGTGTGCAAATACAAAAAGAAAAAAAAGATAAACACTAAAGTATTAATTTTGGTTAATTTGGTTGCAATTTTTGGTTGCTGTTCTCTCTCTCTCTCTCTTTTACTCATTTTTCTGTCTATCTCTCTCATTCTCTTTCTTCACTTGTCTTTGTTTTTTGTTTTTCAATATCAAATATGTACTACTATTATAACAGGAATTAGGCAATATGCTTTTTAGATAAAAAATAAATAACATTTTCCCTCTCTGGATATCATTATAGTACAGAGTTCAAATAATAAATACATGAATGTATGAGCAAATGAATAAACACAGAAATGTAGCCAACTTTCCCAACATACTTAAAATATAATTATATTATTCTCATAGTTTTGGGACACCTCTAGTAAATGAAATAGCTTACTTTTAAACTTATTATAACAAACAAATCTATAGAGAATCAAGCTTTCTCTTAGTTACTGGCTTTGATTAATAGTATAAAAGGGGCCATTAAGAAGAGCAAAAAGAGTTTAGAAATAAAAAAAAAAAGGAACAAAAGGTACATAGATTTATACTGTAGTAATATGTCCTGACAGTTATAGGACTATTCCCAAAGTTTGAGTTTTAATTGGATTTTTTTTTAGACCTTGAAAGGTGAAGTTAAGCAAATCAATAATGCTAAACAGAACAGTCTACATTTCTGTTAGTCTGGTTACCAGATTTTTTGTATCTTTATTTTTTTTTTCAAATATTTACTGTGCAAATTGCAAAGAATAAGTAAATTTTCTAAAGGATAGCTATTAAAGAAACTGAAAAATTGTAAATTTTTCTCCCCTTTTACTTTGAGCTTTAATGAGATCAGGTTTGTATAATTAATACAAAATGGGGAGGGATGAAAGAATAATAGATGAAGCGGGTGGTGAAGGGAGGAAAGGTTTTAAACCATTTCAGTGGAGTAAAGAGCAATTTCATTTTAATATAATTTTTAATGGTTGTTCAAACTCTTATAATGCATCCACACAAAAAGCTTCAGTTAATGTGTGTGTATTTTGAGCAGTTCCCCTCTTCGACCCTCCAGTTTAATTTCCGTCCTTCAAATGAAATGAATGGAGCGTGAAGCAGGTCATATCTCAATGCTGACACATGGGTTGCAGATAGAACTCACAGCCTGGAGATGCAGCCAGTTTAGAGATTAAATCAAAGCAGCTCTGAATAGATGGGAGGTCAGCCAGGGCCAGCTTTGACATTTGATAGGACCTTGTGATCAATCAGGCCTTTCTTCACTCTTCCAGGCTTCCTTACGACAGTGGCCTTAAAAAACAGATGGGATATGTTACAAAGTGCAGGAGAAGCACTAGATTGTGAAAGGAGATAGGTGTCAATATTATCAAAGGGACAACTGTTATTTGAAGCAGACAGCAAATCAGAAGGCCCTGTTTTGCTGCAATTGCTATGTTAAAGTTTGCCTTTCATGGGATGAAATCCAAGATTTGAGAATGGTGGGATAATTTTTAAACTGCTTTTTAAAATTTCTTGCTTCCTATGCATTAAACTGTAAACTTTGAGCATTCATGATATTATAAGATCAAATTTTAGCCAATCTTCCCTTTGAATAAGCTGTTTCCAGCAAAGCCAAGCTTAATTTTTGCTCTATTTGTTTGTTTCCTTATTTGTCTTTGGGGAACACACCACACACACACACACACACACACACACACACACACATATGCACACACACAAAAACAAGACATAAAAACCTTTGGAAGAAAGGAATCAAAGGGTATTAATGCAGAGACTCACTGGGCAGGGAACTGAGCATGATTTCAGGAAATCCCAGTCACATTGCCAAGAGGGTCATGAAAAATGAATGGCCCCAGAGCACCACTGTGACAGACTGTTTTAGTGAGTGGTAATGGGCCATCTCCAGGATGAAAGGCCATGTATTTATAACTGTGAAGGCTACTGGGTATCACGCCATTCATTATGCTTGCTTGATTTAAGGGAGATGCCTTTTACCAATGTGACATGGGAGCAAATTATTTCCAGGAATATCACAGCTCTCTTCTCCCCCACCACCTACTTCTCCATCTTGCCCACTCTCATCCCAGATATACACACATGCTCTCATATTCACATAAGCACATTCTCTGAATTTTTCATGTCATAGAGCATTTTATATTCAGAGCTAACTTCTCCAAAATGTCTCACCCCACTGGGATGAGAAAGCTGGAATACGGGAGCTGGGATTAAGAAGGGTTTAGATAAGGAGGAATGGCACAGATTCACTTTACTACCTTTCTTTTAAGAAATGTTTTGATGGGAGCCAGAGAGCTGAGGTCATTTGGTCTTTAATATAACTATTGGGCTAATTTGCGAAGTTGAGTTTTTGTTTGACATGGACGTCATCTTCACAGAGAAGTTAGCATTTAGTCCCATTTTGTTCCTTGGTTATAGTGGTCTGTCATCAGTTAAATGTGCAAAATAATTCAACCTCTCTGGATTGTTTCTGATGAGAAATTAACTGATTGCACAAACTTCTCTCTAAATTAATTTTCAACATTAATATTTTATGAGGTCTTGAAATTCTAGTAAGACAGAAACATAATACAACAAAAAATTTCAACCAGCACATCAGATATTCTGGTAAAACTAATCTCAGGGAACGTGTTAATGTAACTAACTCACTTAATAACAATGTGCAAAATCCCATTTAAAAAAAGAATCTGTAAACCTTTCAGAAAAGTTATCATAGGATAAATTGTTTATAATAAATGATTTATGTCCCTTCATGTGTTAAAAAAAAAAAAGCTTAACATTTCACACTAGTGTACTGAGAAAAAGATATATGTACTTGGATTTTAACCAAGTTGATTAAGCTGACACCTTAATATAGCTGCAATACATCAGTGATTAAAGTAAAGTTTCTACAATGGCGTTTTCATGGTCTGGGTCACAGGTTTTTTTGAAGACACAGTACAGTTATACTGATGATAATTCCAGAGAGCATCATTACACAACTGAGAGATGTTTGGATTGTGAAATGCATGCATGGGTATGTGTATATTTAATCTATGCAAATTTGTGCCCTGATTCTGGCTCCCAGGAGCTCAGATGTTTGTGAGAATTTAGAGATTATTTACAAAGAGTATTTTTTTTCTGAATAATTATCATTGAAATGTGACACAAATCTTCCAAAATGGTAATTCTCTCTAGCAAGCTAATCCTTCAAGAGGTTTTTTTTTATGTCTCAGAGAAAGCTGTGTGTAATCAAAAGACTCTACAAAATACATGTTGGTTTGAGTCACCCTCTATAATTCCATTTAACTACTGCCAACTCCAGAAACAGCCACAATTTTCCTGTATCTTGTACACATCAGATAAAAAATTCAGAAAGAATTGGCAGTTAGCAGTTGAGTAGCCAAAAGAGGAAGGAAAAAGCTTTGCTGGTGTTTCCCAATTAATTTTCTTTTCAAGTGAAAGTTTGAAAAGAAAAAAAAAATAAGAAAACTGGAAATGACCTAAAAACTCTGGTACGATAAGATAAAATTTGGCCTGACCATAACCCTGTGACTGAATGCATAGTCTGAGTAAGATGACCAAAAAAACATGGACTGTATTTTCCAACAATAATTTTTAAAATTTATGTTGGAACTTAAAAGTAAGAGATGTAAAGGACTGAATTTTGAAGAAATTAAGTCTGTTGCAGAATTAGTGAGAGGAAAAGGAAAATAAAAATAAATATTTAGTTAAGAAGCTTAACCAAAATTTTATTTTTAAAATTTGTACTGATGCCAAATATTTTTTAAAAGATTTGCTTTCTCAAATAGAATGAAGTCACTTTAATGTCAAGGAGTCCATTGTATTATATATTTCAATTGTCTTTTAAAAATAACAAACTCATGAGTCAATGGCATTCGTCAGAATGGCCCTAGATGCATAAGACATCTAGTAAATGCTCTGGTACATAATTTACCACATGTGCAAGTTTCATTTCCCTTAGCGAGAAACAAAGAGGTGGTAGTCTTGGTTACAGGCACAGGCAGTATGAATAGTTGTTCTATTCAACCAAAGTCTCTGTAAAACCCTGAGATTGATCCTTTAGGATTATGTACTCCTGACCCCGAAAATCAGTATAACTGACCAGTTCAAGAATCTGCCACATTCAGAACAACATTTAACATCCACCAAAGTTTTCTTAGGGGCGGAAGCTATAACCTGGTGACAGAATTTATTTCAGCTTGGGCATTCCCCCCTCTCTCAAAAACATCATGGGCTCAGATTTGTCTGGATTCAAAACTCCTCTGACGCTACATCCATAAGGATATGGAAAGAACTTATCCTGGTTCTGTTTAGTAAATATTGGGCTTTAAAGGGAATCCGCCCATTACTGTTTAAAGGGGCACAGGAGATTTTCTTTGCCTAGAGTGATAGAAACTTTGGGTCTTGCAATCAGGCAGGCATAGGCTCAAATTTTAGATCTACTTCTTACCAATGTCTGACATTGAGTAAGTCTTTTTAAAGTAAGAATAGTAATGATATCTACTCCAATGGGTTGGTATAAGAATTATCTAAAATGATTATATAAAGCAATTTTCATAGTTCCTGATACTGCTAAAGCATGCCATAAAGCTTAGTTATTGTTATATATTAATTTGACCCATTTTATCTTTGACTATTCTAACCTGGGAGAATTCCAAAGACAAAAAGAAATATCATACCCAAATGCACTTCTTAGCAATCATTTTATAATTAAAGGAATTATTCAAAAGATCAAGTAAAATAGTAGAGAGGAAGGAGACCAAACTTGAGATTTTCCCTCTTCAATTGCTGACTAAAGGATTCGTTGACAACTTTATTTTTATTAAACAGATTGGAAATGCCTCTTCATAAAATATTGCATAAATTAGAAATTTTAATATAGTCTATCCTCTAAAATATAAGTGTATTTTTAATCTTCTGCATAAGAAATTATTCCAACACTTAGGCTAGAAATTACAAAATGTTTATTAGCCAACCGTTTTCATAGATCAGGAATTCAGGCGCAGCTTGCTTGGCTAGTTTGAGTTCATATTTTCTTACGCGTTTCAATCAAATTTTGGCTGGGGTGACAGTCACCTCAAGGATTGATGGGAGAATCTGCTTCCAAGCTTATTCACATGGCTGTTGGCAGACCTCAACTTTCAAGTTAACTCTCATGGAACTCACCACGGGCTGCTTTATGACATGGCAGCTGGCTTCCTCCCAAGTAAGCCATTCAAAAGAGAGTGAGAGAGTCTTCCAGATGGATACCACAGTCTTATAAAGCCAAATCTCAGAATGGACATCTTATCACTTCTGCTGTTAAGAATACAGTGGTCCCCAACCTTTTTGGTAGCAGGGACCAGTGCTCCTATGAGAATCTAATGACTGATGATCTGAGGTAGAGCTGAAGTGGTGATGCTACAGCTGGTAAGCAGCTGCAAATACAAATGAAGCCTTTACTTGCTTGCTTGCCACTCACCAACTGCTGTGTGGCCCAGTTCCTAACAAGCCACAGACCAGTACTGGTCCACAGCCGGGGGTTTGGACATCCTTGTTCTGCTTGTTAGAAGTGAGTTAATAAGTCCAGGCTACACTCAACAGGAAGAGATTATACAAAAGTATGAATCCCAGGAAGCAGGGATCATTGGGACCACCTCAGAGATTACCTACAGTACATCTTCTGGTCCCCAATGATTCATGCCTCTGCCAAATACAAATTTGCTTACTGTCCTTAAAGACCTCAAAATTCTCTTTGTGCTACAATATCTGCTGAAAATCTAGAATCTTATGATATGAATCAATTCCAAGTGTGGATGAGCTTCCTCAAGCGTAAACCCTTAAATGCAACTCCTCAATTACATTTCCTTGCCATTTGTAGACCTGTGAAACAAAGGAGACTATCTAACCCCACCCCCAATATGCAATGGCGGGACAGATGTAGACATTACTGTTACAGAGTCTGAAAGCTTTCAAATCATCGTGTCATTACATTCTGGCTTCTTTGTGTTTAACGTTTTTTTTCCCTGAGTTAGTGTCTGCCTGCCTGTCTGTCTGTCTGTCTGTCTGTCTCTCTCTCTCTCTATCTCATCTCATCTCATCTCATCTCATATTTTACTTCAAGAAGCAAGAAGAAACCAGGTGATACCAAAATACTTTGCTTGGAAATCTCCTTAACTATATCTCCCAGTTCATTAGGTGCACTTTTTACTTTCTATATTACTGTAAGCAAAAGTATTGCTAAATTTCTGCCCTTTACTATGGTTTGCAATAAAACGTTTCTCCTGTTCTGT